TAATGTTATATAATGGGATGTCATTTAGATTCTACATGTTCATGTACTGTATCTAGAATGTAATTTATACATGTGAATGTGGTAATACCAGTACTAATACAGTGTATGAGATCTACAGTACAGTAGCAGTATTGGTGTGGTATAGACTGATCCTCCTGCTAGTGTCAGGTGGTTGATTGTTATTATAAGAGCTGGTCATGTGCCTACTGGATATACCTGCAGCTGCATTCTCCAGGACCTAATATAGACATGACTAACAACCACTCCAACCCATAACTGAATGAACTGTATAATCCATACCTACAATGGTCACTGCTCTATTGTATAATGATACTATTAGCTCTAGTGTGGAGTGTATAGCACTGTGTATGTAGTTGTGTTTGTGTTATTGTTGTTGATTGTTTGTTTATTATTTCATTTCCTAATGTCATCAGGTCCTGTTTATCCCTTGCCAGTGATATAGTGAAGACACTGTGTGAGAAGAGAACCAGCTGCGTACTGCTAGGTGAGGGGGAGGGAGGGGGAGAGGGTGAGGGAGGGAGAGGAGGAGAGAGGGGGAGGGTGTGTGAGAGTGAATCCTCCTAACTGCTACTGGTATGTTTGTCTTTCAATGTACATACTGTATATATGTACATGTACAGTATTTACAAAATTGATTTTCTATTTCTAATTCAATATATCAAGTACTAATCAATGTTCTTCCTCCTTTTTGATATAATCAAATTACAACTAGTCATGTCCCATTATATCATACCCACACACTAACCCACTGATACAGTATAACCTCTTATAACTGAATGTATTTACTGTACTGTATAGTGGACACTGTATAGTGGACACTGTATAGTGGACACTGTATAGTGGACACTGTATAGTGGACACTAGACTGTATCACTCATTCCTTCAAGTGGTTAGTGTCTCTTCTTTACTAACAGATCAGAATGACAGAGACTTGGCTTGTGTCATCTCCTCTCTGGTTCAGATAATGGCCGACCCTCACTACAGGACCATATCTGGGTTTGAGTCACTAGTCCAGAAGGAATGGGTAGCTATGGGTCACCCTTTCATGACCAGGAGTGGATTAATAACTGACGCTCCTTCTAATGAGGAACTAGTACCTGATGGACAGGTAAGACCACACCCCCTCTCACTCCATGTATTCAGTATAGCGGACATATACATGTACATGTTAATACATACATGTATGCCAATTTACTGTATTAATATATCACTACCTTATAGATAGTGATGATAATTGTTTTTTATGTTTCTTTTATTTTTTGTTTCATTTTCATTCCCAAGGCTCCAGTCTTTGTCCTATTCTGTGATTGTGTCTGGCAGTTAACTGTTCAGTTTCCTTCAGCATTCCAGTTCACTCCTTCTTTCCTGGTCAAGTTTGTCTCTCTCACTGCCAGTTCAATATACAGCAACTTTGTCTTTGATTCAGCCAAAGCTCGAGTTGAGGCCTCCAACCACAGCAAGAGGAGCAGCTACTACGTGAGTCAGTCGGTGGACCTGCAGGGTAGCCACTCTGATGCTGAGAAGTACGAGGGCCCACTGGTCTCTGCCTGGGGCAAGTGGAGGAGCTCATTAACAGCTGAAGAGACAGAGAACTGGTTGAACCCGTTTTATTATATATTTGGATCAGGAGACGCTCATAACGAGTTCACGTTTACTGGGAACCTGTTGCCTTTTGAGTCTTCAGTTTTCAATTTGTTATTTTCGGATATGCTCCCTGATAAAACCTCAGGAGGTAATTTTGGTCTATATTCCGACCAGCCCCTCCCTCTCTCACTCAGCTCTCATGAGCTCACTCCAGAGAGAGCAGAGCAAGTGTCCCTTCACTCCATTAGTTCTTCCTCTCCTTCTCCTCTACTCCTCCCCAACACTGCAATGCCTTCCCTTGTCTTCTGGGTGGACTATTTCTTCCGATTCATTCCTGACTATTCCTCCACTAAACTCACTGTCTCTAACTCTCAGCAGCTCCAGAGTAAGCTAGTGAAAGAGGTTAGGAAGCTAAAGGAAGCTCTCAATGACTTAGAGCTGGAGAGAGGAGAACAGACAAGTGACTTCTCTCGTTTCATTCGTGAGATTATGAAAGCAAGAGACGAAGAGAAAAGACTCCGGAAGCTAAAGAGAGACGCTTCTCATGAGATAGCTCGTCGGATGTCAGCGTTCATCACCATGTCATCAGAGGACGAGGACTGTGACCGGAGTCTTGATAAACTCAACTCTCCCGTTGGGTCGGTTCATGACAAAGCTAAGACTCTTCCAGCTAAACTTGATGATTCTCTCAGTAAATTTGCAGATGAGCTCCACAATAATGGAGAGTTTGCTAAGCGATTCCTGACAGCCTCTACAGGCGGTACTGGTGGGCGGAGTCCAGTACTCAAGACAAAGATTACGATACAGAAAGAGGACAGTAGTCAGAACCCGTTGTCACCAGCCTCTAGATGGTTAGGGGCGTCACAGTTGACCCCGCCCACTGCTAATAGCCCGATAATGCCCAGCCCACCCATTACCATGCATAAGAAGATGATCGGGACAGTAATGGAGGGAGGGAACAGTCAGGACCATGAACTGATTGATTTATAAAGTTGATGTTATCACACACACCACATTATGATTAAATTATTATTATTATTATTATGTTCTGCTGCAATTACTGTGACGTCTCTCTCTCTCTTTATGGTCAGTCATTATTTAATTTTATTCAATTTGTAAAGTAACATCTTTTGGTAGAGTTAATGACATCCATTTCATTGCCCATTTCTTTTGTATTATACTGCCATGTTAATAGTACACTCACTGATTGAAAGGATATGGTTAACATTAAGAAATCAAAACACTAAGGATAATAGCATGTAGTTATGGGAAGTAATATTAGACAAAAAAAACTAAAGTAGCTTAAAGGAAGAGTAAGAGTTTTTCACATTATACAGTACAAAGACAATCAGTTCCTACAGCAGTGGTGAGGAGAACCCTCCTCTCTCTCTCTTAAACAGTGGGGTAAGAGGCATCAGTGGCTATACCACACTTGTTGTCCTTCCTAACAATCTTGAAGTATCCCTGCTGTCCCCAGTCTGGGCCCCAGCTGTTCTTGACGAGCCAGTAGGGTTTCTCCTCATGGAAGAGACCACTTGGTTCGGTTCCATACCCAACGGCCAGTACACCATGATCAAGGTTAGT